GACGGTCCCGACAGGGTTAACCGGAGCGGCGGTCCCGTCCCGCGCGGGGCTGCCACGGCGACTGCCTCGGCCTCGGGGACTGGATTCCTGTGGGGACGAAGCCTGCCACTCTGGATGCAGGGACCTGCTTTTGGGACTTGGCCGCCGGGATCTGCGGGTGCATGGCTTCAGGGAAGAAGTTGAGAATTTTGCCAGGTCATTTCTGCCTGGGCACAGTTAATGAGTGTGTCTTTAGGCGTGTTTCACTGAAGCTCTCCTACCGTGTTCAATCTGCGTGCCTACCCTCACGGGTGCAACGTGAAAACTGAAACCAAAGGAATGATGTAGGCCCGCTTTGTGTGTGTTTTCCCACTTTAAGCTTGTTTGCAGTACACATACTCTTGCTTTAAACCTCATTGGACTCTGGCGAGCAGACATCTGTTCAAAGGAGGGGCAGAGACCACAGCGCTTCTGAAGGGGGCTTGGTAATGTGGAAATATTTTAAGTGCTCTCTCTGGACAATGATTTGCTGTCTGGATTCAGGCAAGTTACTTTCTGAAATACAGTTTTTACCTGGAAAATGGTTTGATGTAGTTACTAACGGACCCTTGTACTTTGCCATCTCAGATTTAAAGATGCACTGTAATTTATTATGCAGAAGTTAGTGGTCAAAAGTTCTTTTTGCAGTTTACTTCTTTCACATATAGATCCACCCAGCTTGGTTTAAATTTCTCAGTGACTTAACCATCAGCCTTGACACTTCCACTTTCAGGCTCAGACTGAATTTAAGGAAACTAAAGACGGCTTTACGTTTTTCTTAATTTTCCTCTTTTTAAGTATTTAAAAATAAAACTCATTGCATGTTAACTTAAGTGACATTGGTGAAAGAGTGATATTGTTTTGCGTTTCTACAAGTCTTTTTAAATGTCCAGCTGAACGAGACAACTAGATTCTTAAATCTACTTCTGCATTCAGTCTGTTGTGGTATCACACCATATAACCTCTGGAACAATCCACTGTATACTAAGGCCTTTTTTTTTTTTTTTTTTTTTGTAAACTGAGAAATGTATCATTTCTAGACTGTGCTCACCATACAAATCAAACCAGGATATTATACCATACACATTTTAAAAGTATGGATAGGAAAGCTGATTTCCATACCTTTTTCTTAGGCTCTAACTTTTTTCAGTTTGGGATTTAGATGCATAAACAACATCACGAATACAGATTGGATAATCCCATGTGATTCTGGAGATTTGGAAACACTTGAAAAGATTTTAAGTAATTAAACTTAATTTTTAATTCCACAATGTATTTTTAATGAAGTACACAAATAAAACGTGAGTTCCATATTGGATGTGCTTGTGAAAACTTACGTAGTAAATGTAATTTTTGAAGATAGGACACTTTTCAAAGCGCTGTAGGAGCTCTAGTTTAAGAGGATTCCTGCAGTGAAACCTTTGGTAAACAATTCTTTTGTAATGTATATATTTACCCTTCAAGTTAATTCTGTTACTTAAGAGTTCTGTAACTTAGAGTTCAAGTTCTTTATCTGAATCAATCTGGGTTTTCTTTCTTGAGGGGCACTTATACGGTAAATGTGTGAAAATTTAAGGGCATACTTTGATTTAATGGTTTTGAAATGAAACTAAAATTCATTTCCAGTTGTTTCTGTGAACTCTAGTATGATTCTGTCAGTCTGCAGATCTCTACTGTTCCATCAACAGGAAGCATCTGGTCATTCTTCATGTAATTGTTAGAAAATGCCAGATATATTTTTGATGTTTGCTATTCAAATGAAAATAAATATCAGATTGGATCTTGGTTGCCCCCGACCCTCTCATCTCTGGGATGTATTTATAATGGGCCACATCTTTCATAGAATGGACATTTTTATTTTCCCTTGAGTACCTCACGAGTTAGAAATAATAACAGGTAGAGCAAACAAATCATAAGAAATTCAGAAGTTACTACATGAACTTTTGAATCCTGACTTCATTTTGAACATGCATTTTTGGCTGGTGTGGTGTCCCTTTGCAAGTAGCCTGAGCATGGATGACCTCACTGATGGATTCCATTGCTTCTCTCTATGCAAACATTAGAAAACAAGCCAAATAAAACTTAAGAGTTCAGGGTAACTTAGTTTTCTAATGAGTCATTTCTTTGGCTCTACAGCTTTCCAACTATAGTAATCATATTTCTATAAAATAATGTATCTACAGCTATAATTAGTATTATACTTACATTTTCTGTAGGTGTTTGTTCCATCATGCTCTCTAGAAGATAAGTCTATTAAATTTTAGTACTAGGGCTTGTGTTTCCTCACAGTGTTGACAATAGTGCTCTGCACAGAGAAGATGCTTTGGTGTAATGAGCTGTCAGTTCAATCTGGTGGGCTAGTACACCTTTATTTGGACTAAGTATGCCCATGACATAAATGTAGAGGTTTAAAAGCATGAAGTGATTTTTCTACTGAATGTAAATCCATATGCAGTGCCAATGATACATTTTGAAATAGAAATCTAAAACTCTTAGCCTTAGTTCTCTTACCTTTTAATGGGAATAATTGTAAAGGCTGGAAGTTAGGGCCCAACATGCTAATGCACAAATGGAGAATGTAGAAAAGACTTGATTATTTTAACTGATTGTAGAACCAACACCATAGTATAATTTTTTATTTTTAAAGTAAATGTCATCCTAAAGTTGGTAGAAAGAACATCATATATAAAGAACATGATGTTAGCCCTACTTTATTTTGTACTGGTTGTATTATACCTGGGGCATTAGGTCAGCTTTTTAGGTAGCATACTATCATAAGTGGGACTGTCTATCAGTTCTCACCTGGCAGACCAATTAAAAAAAACAAAAACCCGCAGAGGCCCAAGCTTAAGTAGCATAGGATGTGGGCCACTTTGTTTTTATCAGATTCCCTAGGTGATAGACACTGAAGTTTAAAAACCAGAGGACCTTGATCATGGGGGAAATGGAAAGGAGGAAAGGTTCAAAAAACGTTTCGCCCCAAGGACAAAAAGCTCATCTAAGAAATGATAGTTATATGTAAATATTTGGAAGTCTGTCACACAGATCAGGTTTGATCTGACCAGAAAGAACTAGAACCAATGCGTGGAAGTTAGAAGGAGGCAAATTTAAACATTCTCCCAAGAAAACTTTCTTCAAAACAGTAAATAAATATTGTTTTGTGTGGTAGGTTGCCTGCTGTAACTGACAGTGTTCAAGTTGGGGACTCTAGGGTACAGGAATTGATGTGCTGAGTGAGGATTTGGGCCCGGTGTCCTTAAGTTCCCTATAAATTCTGAGACTTTATGAAATATGTTTAAGTTTCAGGTACAAAAGTGGAAGAGCAAAAGCTAATTGAAACAAGCTAATTAGCTCAACTGGATCATAGTTTTAATTTTCTTGGGTAAAGAGAAATGAGTGTTAAGTGAGAGAGCTATTTGATGAGGTCTTTAAACCCAGCTGTAATTTGGCAGACTCCAAAGCCTTTTGATGTGGAAATTCCCATTTAAGGGAATTTGTCTTGGATGTAATAAAAATATTATTGGTAGCTTGTGAGCATACCAATTGCAGCATTGTTGATAATAAAAGCTGTGTATTAACATATTTAATATTTAACCCCCCTTAATCAGATACAGTAGGTAATATCCCATTTTTCAAGAAGAGAAAACTGAGCCATAGAGAAATGAGGTGGCTTGCTCAAGGTAGCAGAGTTAGTGGTAGAGCCAGGGCTTGGATACATGCCATTGGACTCCAGAGCCAGTGACTCTTGATCATTATGCTGTAAAATTGTAAACCTAAATACTTCACAGTGAGTGCTGGGATATATCTGTACAGTGGGTTACTGCCTAATCCTTAAAATGATGTTAGAAGGATGTAAAGATGTAAAAAGAGGTCTTGGTATATGGAAGTGAAAAAACATTTAAAAACAATTCCATTTTGGTTAAGAAAAAAATAACTGACATCTGGAAGGATATGTGCCACATTGTTCAGTGGTTATTTCTGAGTATAGGTTTA